AGAAATAGCTTTAAAACCGTGTCAGTGGGCAGATTATTTGTCAATACCTGCTCTCTTCTCATCTCCATCACTCTTTCTTTTTTTCTCAGTCTCTTCATCCCTTTCTCTTCCCCTCCTAAAGCTGAGCTTTTTTAATTTACTAAAGGCTACAATTTGTATTATATTCTCAATATGTACGCATTCATTATTAATCTTGTGCCTAACATGATGAAAACGGCTTTGTTAATGTTTCTTGTAAACTAATTATTACATTACATGAGTCACGTTACATAGGCCTATTTTCAGTTAAAAATGGCGAAATTAGACAAAACTATATTACCGGTAGTTTGCCTGATTATTTTTTGTCATTCGTTTAACATTTATGACCTAAAAAAGTAAAATATGAAATGTTAAGTTTAGCTACTTACATCTTATCTCGCACTTGACCGTACGCGTCGAGTCGCACTGTTAAAATTCGCGCTCAGCAGCGTCTGTGAACATAAAGCCCGCCTACTTTGATTTGATTGCCTACTTTGATTTGATTGGTCATCTCAAATATTCTGACATTGACGAGCAGTGACAGACCAATGAGGCTCAGACGAACACACACATGAACACACACACACACACACACACCCTGTCCTCTTCTGACGTGCTCTCTGCTCGGCGCCGCTGCGGATTGAAGATGAAGAACGCGCTGAATCTGATTATAACAAGACTGAAGCGAACACGAATTTGTGTAGCCTACATTAATCGCACATTTTTAGGGGGGCTAGGCAGAAGTTTAGGGGGGCTGAAGCCCCCCTAAAAAGGGCCTAGTGACGCCCCTGCAAATCAGCTAAACAATATCTAATCGAACGAACTATCATTTGTTATCAAATTACTCTTTTGGACGAGCCCCCATTTGTTACGATTCTTCTTAAAGATCGCAACAAAAGATCGCAAACGCCACACAATCGCTGCGTAAACCATAAGATTTATTTACATAAAGTAATTAACATGTGGTGTCAAGGGATCAGTATAAATGTTAGTTAGTGTGTCAGCATGTATTTGTACGTGGCAAGCTCAAGTGATGTCAGTTCAACCAAACATAACCAAAACATAATCAAAAAGTCCAAATCAGAAGATCGTCAGCAGGGGAAGTACATCACATCAGCTCTCCGAAGTGATTGTGCTCTCCCGTGACCCAAATGTCCTGAGAGCTCTCTGGAAGTTCCCAGAGCTGCGAGCACACCCGCGAGCCATCGAACTCCCGTCTCTGTTTGACCCAGTGTCTTTTAAAACACCATAATCTGGTTCAGGTGTAAAGCCACGCCTCCCAGCAATCAGCCTATAACTCTGGGACAAAACACACGAGCACTCACTGCACAAACGCTCATTGAACCGTCACAAAGACCATTGAGAAACAGCAGGAGAACAGGGGAACAAATGTATTATGTGCAATGATCGGCCAAGATATATTTATATATATATCAGAAAGAAGAAAAATTAAGCAATCTGGGGAGGAAAAAGGGAAAATGGACAGTGCCAACACAAAGAAGAGAAACAAACAAAAAGGATCTTTCTCACCGGTTTCAACTAAACCTACCTCACAGTAATACAAAAGAAAAGTCTTCAACATCCGAGACACCGTCGCACACTTTCCTACTCTATCTATCAACACAGAAATGACAGTGAATGGTGTAATCTCCCTGAAATGGGGAACATAGAAATGTTAAAATACAGATAGACACTTGTTGCGTTTCCCTCAATCTCTGTATTATGAGTGCACAAAATTACCATAAAATGCATAACAATTTACATGTAACAATATTACATTCTCAATTGACCCTTCGCTAAGCCCCGCCCTCCTTAGTTACTGTTGCTACGCCTGACAAGCTTTCACACCTGCCACGTCTATTACAGTGTGAATGCACCGGTGTCAGACATTCCCAAGGAGATAATTAGTCATTTTTGGCGAACAGGTGAAATATCTGAGAGAGCAAGACAAAAGGGACTGCAGTATGCATTTGAGGGATATATCCACGACATAATTTGCAACCAATTAGAGAATAATTTAATCAAAATTGAAGCTAAAGCCTATAACGTTAGGTCCCAGCGCAAGCAGCAGCCGCCTCATTAGCAGACCATTCAAATGGGAAACACACAAATTGAGGAACAGCTATGTTCATGCACAGCAGAGTAAGTGAAATGTGAAAATAATCTAATAATTATAAATCAAACAGCTTATCAATCAATTTAAAACACTAACACCGGGAGAGCCGCGATCGGTCGCAAACTTTAATTTGATTAGTTACTCAGCACTGTTAGAAAAAGAGGTACAATACAGGTCCATTTTTGTTCCCTAAGGTACAAACTTTGCATATGTACCCTTAAAAGTACAAAAATGTATCTTTAAGGTACAATTGTGCACCTTTAAGGTACAATTTTGCTCCTTCCATTTGTATATTGTGTGCTTTCCGAGGTGTAAGGTACATATTTGTCCCTTACATATTTGTACCTTAATGTTTAAATGTAAAATGGCAGGAATTAGTGCATGCTGATAATGTCATCTCTCAATATAGAAACACAAGTAAACCTATACTATCAAACTCAATAACTCAATAATAGTCAAACTAAATTAACTGTAAAGTTTTGAGATATGGGCTAAATAAATCAGAATGTTTTTTTTGTGTGAAGTGTCCCTTTGAATAATTTTTAATCGTGTTAATGAGGATTGTGTAATCATTTATATTCACAAACCGTTTTGAAGAATTAGATTTTCAAACTCTTTACCCTATTTATATTAGAATGAAACAGACAATATAATTGATTTCTATTGAAAGGATCTAGCTACAGGCTAACTCGACTCGGCGGAAGCATAAATTTTGCAGCGCGGAAGGATACATGAGTGAATCGACAGTGATCCAACTGTCAGTGTCTGTCAGTGTCGAGCAAAGTCGGGAGGATGGCGCTTCGACATTTATCCACGGAGGATTTAATCACGGAGTTATTTCGTTTTGGGATAGAGGTCACTGAAGAGGAGAGAAGTAAATTCAAAGGTAAAGTATTTGAATTTTTAATCAGTGTTTGTGGTGTAAATTCAAAGTTGGAAGTTAACTTTTACTGTTAATGTCAAGTTCATACTCTGTCAACATTAACTTCGCTAGCTAGATTCGACATTGACGATTGCCATGATTATTAACGTTAACTAGTTAGTTAAAACATTAGCAGTAACTTACTATATTGCCATTCCACATACTATTATTATAAGTAACGTTAACTTACTATCCGTTCACAATCGAGCTAACATTAACTGTTAACGTTAGCTAACTAACGTATAAAACTACTGCGTCAGAGGAGGATGAGAAGCGTTTTTGCCGCCGAAAAGTATTTTCTTTTACTGTCTATGGTTCTGACTTACGTTAGCTAAGTTAGCTGGACTGCGTCAGAGGAGAACGAAAAAAATAAAATAAAAATAAAACTCTTTTGCCGCTGTTGTGGCAAAAATTCATCTCAAGCAAACATCACTGCGTAAGAGACACTCAGAGTCAAATTATATAAAATAGAAGTATTTATTCTTGCAAGAATAGGAGCAGTCTAATACACAGTTGTTACCCTGTGCAGAAGAGTGACACACCCCCAGACAGACTGAACCAGCTTTTATCTAAGTTTCAAGGCCTTCTTTCCCCCAGAGCCTTCCTCCCAGTAGTTTTCCATAGACTAAGCCCCCCTGCACCAAATGGCCTTCCGACATCTAGGTCAGAGGTCCCTGTTCGTCTGCTCTCTGGAGTGTCTCCCCCTTCTGCTTCCCCAGGTACATAAACAGAATCTTCTCTCACTACAAGTGAGAGACACACATGTGACATTCTTTGAATCATCTATATTTTACACAAGAATAGGTTCTCTCTCTTATGATATCTGTTAGGGATCAATGACTATTAAAATTTCCACAACACCGCCGAAAAGTCTTTTGTTCTGACTTAGCTAGCAGTAGCTGGACTGCCTCAGAGAATGATGAAAAAAAAACCCCGCTTTTGCCGCCGTAAAGTCTTTTGTTCTGACTTACGTTAGCTAACTTAGCTGGACTGCGTCAGAGGAGAACGGTGAAAAAAAAAAGGTTTTGCCGCCCAACAGTCTTTTGTTCTGAAATATTTTAATGCTAAAGCAAAGCCATTTGGGCGGAATGTTACTATCGATAGCCAGTGGAATTATGATTTGGTCTTTATTTCGTCATCAAACTGTCTTAGAACATCTTCGTAAAACCATGTAAGACTAACGTTAAATTACAACATCAGGTTAACGTAACGTTAACTGACAGAACCGACCAACGGTTAAAACCTCCCTTTCGAGTAACGTTAACATTACTAGGTAGATACGATTAGATAACGTTAGCTGCTGTTATAAAAATAAACCGATTACTATCATTAGCTAATGGTTTTAACTTCTTTCAATACTTTCCCCGCTGTCCTGGAAAAAAAATTAGATAGGCCTAACGTAACATAAATATTCAGGGCTGTGTGAGAGAGAGAGTGAGTGAGAGAGACGCATTTCCAGCGTCTCTAATGAGGTAGCTACGCCTAAATACTTTCAATGTGTTTTTATATGTAAGTTATATTAGGGCGTCTCAAAGTCCGGACCAGGCAAGCCCATAAGTTACCTCTGGATATGAGAAAAATACCCAATAAACTAAACTGGAGCAAAACTGTTTTTTTCCCCATAGACCTTATTCAGAGCAGCGCCTTGACAGGTATGAAAGTGAGGCTGTGAGGAAAAACGTTAGACTTACCGTGTTTCCAATGGCATCCGCTGTAAAAAGCTGAATAAAGCTCCTAGATTACATATTGTCGGGAGTTTTTTGTCAACTGAAATTTCTTAGAAATATATTTTTTCCAGTGTTTCATGAGCAGAACAAAACGAAAACACATTAAATAACAGTACAGCCCATTGAAGAGATGCATGTCTATCCCTCACAGCCTCGCTTTCTTTCTCATTAAAAATCAAAGATGGCGCTGCCCTGAATAAGGCGTATTGAGTTACATTAACGTTACAGTCTGACATAATTGTGCCTTTTAAAATTGTTGTATGCTGTTACCACAGTGGTGGTTAACATTGCTGTTTTTCTTTTCTCTATTGTCTAGATAATGAAGTTGACGGAGAAGCAGTGGACTATGGATTGACTGAGAGGATGGTTTCATACCTCTTTGAAGGATCCTTTAAGAAGCAAGCCAAATTCAACAGATTTGTTCAGCAGTGGAAAGAAACCGTGACACTAACCCTCGAGCCTGTCCCGGTACATTCAGAGAAGGCTACAGCGGAATCAAGGTACCGATAACAGTAATGTTATGTTACTAGTTACTTTAGTTACTCCGCTACATTCATCTGTTACAGCTTTAGTTACTAGTTACATGTAGTTTATCAAATCTGATGTTTGATTCTAAAGTAAACTAGCCAACAATATAACGGCTACAAGTCCAGCTGAGATGATGAGATCATTAAACACAACTGGTTGGATCTTTTACTCTTTCTACAATGGTTTAATACTTTAAGTACATTTTCCTGTTGATACTTGCACACTTTTACTGAAGTAACATTTACTCTGCAGGACTTTAACTTGTATTGTTACAGTGTGGTTAATTTCCCAACATTTTAAGACTATTGTTTTATTTCATCATAGTCATGCCATCCCATCATCAGCCTTCCCAGCAGTTTTCATCATTCCTAAATTTCCCAGAGATGTTCAGACAAAGTTGGACCAAAAACCGGCATGCAAAATTGAGAGATCCCATCACAACAAAATCATAAGAACATTGTTTGAAACCATGGCCCTGATCAAAATGTAAGTTTTGCAACCCAACTGGATCACAGCATTTTAGTTATTAATACTATGTCTGATGTTACATTCCTCACCTTCTTTTGCATCGCTGTTACAGGTTTCCGACCAATGATGACTATGTTAAAGTGTGTAAGGCCCTGATTTTGAAATACCCTTTCTTAAAGGACAAAGAAGGCAATGGTTATGTGAGTTGACAGATTATTAATTGCCAACCTTTATTTATTATATAGAGTACTAATCCAGTCAAGATATTAACTATGTTCTCTGCATTTTGATGCACACATTGTTTTCCACCATGTATTTTCATGCTTGTGCTTTCAGTTTTCTGCAAGTGGTTTGTATGCTTATTTAATTGTTCTATTTTATATTCTTTTAAATAGCATACCTGGCACATGTCTCTCAAACGTAAGTTCAAATATGAGCGGGTGCCACTGGTAGATGATGAAGAGGTGAGAAGAATGAAACAGAAATTTGGTCACCACAAAAAGCCTTTACAACAGGAAGAAAACACAAGCAAACGAGCCAAGCCATCAAAGGTCTGCATCTTCTTTGGTTTGCTGTATATCTATGTGTGCATGTTTTACACAAATGCAGTGTGGCCCAATGGTTAGCCTCTTAACCCAGCATGGTAGAGAACAGTCTCCCCTGTAAAGTGCTTTAAGTAGCTATGATGAAGCGCTATATAAAATGTAATAAATTATTATTAAGGGCTCATTTTTCATAAACATTAAAAAGGGGAAAAGCAACTGTCAAATGAGCAAATGTTTGTCATCCCTCTGTGTCGTAGGAGGTGGATATTATTGGGGAGGATGATACCTCAGTAGCGAGGCATGTGAAAGTCCTGCAGGACCAGTACCGGAAGACAAAGCCAGATGCCCAAATGGTGGAGGAACGGATGATGAGGACATTTGCTTGGAGAAGGCGAGAGATTGCCAATGGGATGACTGTCGAAGAAGCCATTAACAAATATCCATTCCTTAAGAGTCCATGCGGGGTTTGTCTACATTTATTTCCTTACATTTGTGTTGGAGTTCATATTAAATTATTAAAGGCTCTCTTTGAAATTTAATTTTAAAATCCTAAGATAATGTTGTGACATGTTTCCCGTTTGTTTGTGCTGTGTTGCAGCTATTTCAGGAAATGGGCCGGCTTCATGATGAAATGAATATCTGCCGAAGATTTGAAGATGGCTTTAAGGTCCTAGTACCCAAAGTGCTTAAATTGACTCAAAGGAAATCTCCCCTTGCAGATTTGGCTTTGGAGGAAAGAGAGGCTGCCCTCACCGAAGATGTCCCTGGTAAGTGACTCACTGATCAGCCATGGTCACCCCTAGTGTTGTGGAGCCATTTAAGCTTTATTTCTTTTCTATTTGTCTTCAGACAAGATAAGGTCTAACTAACCAAAATACACTGTACATTCACGTAATACACTTCCTTTTTTCTTTCTTTTTTTTTAAACTTAATTTTCAGGGATTGATTTCAGAGCTGCAATCCTGCTGTTGCCGATCCTGTTCAGGGAGAAAAATGACATTCTCGTCATACTTGGGGAGGTGTGTAATTTGCATATACTTATTTATTTTTGTTTACATTACTTACCACAGAGACTGGGAGAATTATATGCATCCCTTGGATGTCTTATTTCATAATACAAAGTTTCTAGCTATCAATGCTGGGCCTTGGTGTGGACATGGGGGGCCGCAAAGCTAAATATGGCTAAAAATGTCTTGTAAAAATCTTTTTTTTTTATGTGTTGATTTTAATTTAAAAGTGAGTGAAAGAGGACAACAGCATAGACTTTAGGCAAGAGTGCAGAAAAAACACATGACTGAGCCTCTGACATGGAAGATTACTGTGGGAGAAGGTAACTTTCACAAGCATCTAAGCTTTGTCTAGGAAGTGATTAGCAAACTCAGATTTATATGAAAATGTTTCATATCATGCATGGAAATGTACGTAAAAAAAATTGTTGCATAGATAAATGGTTTAGAATCTAATCGCGAGGTATCCTACTGATGTCACTGGTCCCCCCAAAAAATGTTAGTCTTTTGATAGGCCATATAAATGACGGTTAAAGTGCCCATATTATGAAAAAATCACTTTTTCTGGGATTTGGGGGTGTTATTTTGTGTGTCTGGTGCTTCCACACACATACAAACTTTGAAAAAAATCCATCCATTCTGTTCAGAGTGAGATACGGTTTCTGAATGTGTCCTGCCTTCAGTCTCCTGGAGAGCTGTTCAAAATCGGCCCGGATTGTGACGTCACAATCCGAAACGAGCTGGCTAACCGCAACCGTTAGCTCGTAGCGTTAGCATGCTACCTCGTTCTCAATAGCAAAGCACTGCTACAACACACACAAGTTCACCATAATCTACAAAAGAACTATTTGCATGTGCGCCCTCATTTAGAAGTCTCCCAGCTAATCCTACCTTGTAACTGACCGAAGTTACAACTTTCTGACCGAAACAGGCTTTCTTTTACTTCTATGGACCTAGCTAGCTGACATGATCTACATCTGAGCTACTGACCATGTGCGAGGGCAATCAAAGATAGTACAGAAGAAGAAAAGAGGTCTCACTCTGTAGCTAAAACAGAAACCAGGTGAAAAGAGGATTTTTTTTTTTAATTAAACCATGTAAACCTATTCTGGTACAACCTTAAAGGTGCCCTAGAATGTTTTTTTTTTTTTATTTTATAATGTTTCCTGGGTTACCCTTATAATGTTAGTATGTTTTTTAGATCAAAAATAATCATAATTTAGAAATAAATGGCATTTTTCCTAGCCTGCTTTTAGCCTCTGATTTGAACACTCTGTTTGAAGGGGCGTGTCTGCTGTGGGATTCAGTGTAACCGCGGCCACTGCTGTGATTGGCTGCTGTGGGATTCAGTGTAACCGCGGCCACTGCTGTGATTGGCTGCTGTGGGATTCAGTGTAACCGCGGCCACTGCTGTGATTGGCTGACATGCTTGCATATGAAATAGCAACGCATTACATGTGAAACTCTCTCCCGAAAACTTTTACTACTGCTATTATACGTTTTTACTATAACAGCTATCGAGATTAACGAATCGTGAGATGTTTTTAAAGTATTTAGATCTATTCCCATCACATAAAATGTTGCCGTGATGAGCATTGAGCAGATGACAGTGTGTTGATCGCGAGAATGAAGATCTTATCATTGCAAAGCAGTTTCTGCACTCTCTCTAATGCTTTCACCAATGCAAACACGATGATGTAAATACAGTAAGAGCTTCGTTGTGCAGTAACGTGCGTCATTGATTTCATAACGAGTTTGGCAAATGTCCAGATAAACTCGCGCTGTGTGGAAAGATTGTTCTTTGATCGCTTTCTGTATATAATTTGTTCACAATTTAAATACGATTATTTTCATCCTAATAAAAGAAACAATGTGAAGCTGGTATTTTAGTCACTGGCTTGACTTACTGATGCATAAACAGTATTGGACGATTTTGAGAGAAAGATTACCTGTCTGAACTTGAACAATTACACATCAGAAAGTGTTGCTTGGTAGCTCGCTCGATCCGAGGCCAGCTCTGTATTGGCCCAAGTTGAGGAAACAGTGGGTGAAATGTTTGGAAATTTCCAGAGAAAATAAAATTAACCCATTGTTTCTTCAGAGGCTCAGATGAAGGAACTAAAAAATACTTTTGTGTTCATGTGTACATCCACACTGAGCAACTGCTATGCTTCGGCTGCGCAGTTCCGCCTGGCATTGAGGGCTGGCATATGCAAATATTTGGAGGCGTACATATTAATGATCCCGACTATTGCGTCACAGTCGGTATTGTGTGGAGAACCGACCGTTTTTCAGGGGTGTTTTTCATAAACGTGAATTAAATGAGAACGCGAAAACAGTCCAGTTTGAGATTCACTCTATATCATGTCCATGCACTGAACTCTTGTTATTTGACTATGCCAAGGTAAATTCAATTTTGAATTATAGGTCACCTTTAAAATACAGTTATGAATCTGAAAAGGAGCATAATATGGGCGCTTTAAGGTCTTTCTGTAGATGTTTTTTTAGTGTGTGTGTATATTGGTATGTATGAGTGTGTGTATATATATATATATATATATATATATAAAAATATATATTATTATTAATTTTATTTTTTTATGAATGTTTGTGGTAGATTTCTGCATTTTAACTACTTTATGATCTCTTGCAGGATCAGCCACCATCGCCATATCCTACTGTACATCTCGACGCTGTCGCTGACTGGAGGAGTGTGCTGACTCAAAGGGTCCCTGCAGTGGTCAAACTGGATGGGCAGTCAGTCTGCAGGGCGCTTGGTTTGGAGGAAGGTGTTATTGCTGCTTTTTGTGCTTACTTCATCTACAACGTGATATATCCATCTCGCCTGAAGAACACCCTAATTTTTATTCAGCGATATGTTCTAAAAATGTCTGAGGTTGGTGATAAGCCTCTACCTGTTAGTGTGACCAGGGTAATCAACATTTTAGCTTAATCAACAACCGCAATGCCTACACCATTCAGCTGTCCTAAATGCTCTCGAAGAGCCTTCACATTGGTGAAGTTAATCCAGCACATCGGACTTGTTCATGCACATGAGCCACATTTTACCATAACGTGTGGCCTTAACAACTGTCAATCAACATTTTCTAAATATGAGTCCTTCCGACGACATATTTACAGGAAGCATAAAGACATTATAGCCAGACGAGCCACTGCTCATGATATCCAGGAAACAGTAGTGGGCGAGGAGGAGCAGGGGCCCAGTGATGCTGTCAATCCTCCTGAACCTCCTGAGATGAATGAACTGTTAGTGCAGTTTAGAGAGAATCTTTTTGGCTTTATTCTGAAATCGAGGGGAAAAAACCACCTTCCTCAGACTGTTCAACAAGAAATCCTGGATGACGTAAATTTTTTGTTTGACTTCTTTAAAGCAAACTATGATGCATTTCTAAAATATCATCTTGAAAAAAATGGCTTCAATGTGGAATCTTGTCCTGAACTTTATGAAGTCCTGCAGTGTTCTGACTTTTTTTCAGAGGCATCAAAACTTGTTAGGTCTCCGCATATGTTGAAAAACTACTGCAAATCCAACCTTGAAATGACTGAACCTGTAGACTACGCACTGAGAGACCCAAGTGGTCGTAAAGTTGGAAGCTACTCATATGTACCCATTTGTGATGTACTTCAGAAATACTGCTCCCATGAAGATGTTTGGGATTCTATTCAGAGAGAGCAAAACTGTGAAAGAGATGAACATGTTCTAACTGATTATAGAGATGGATTTTATTTCAGGAACCACAAGGTATTTGCAGATAATCCAGATGCTCTAAGGTTACACCTATATGAGGATGAATTTGAGGTGTGCAATCCGCTGGGTTCTAGACGCAACAAGCACAAACTTTGTGCATTCTACTACACTGTTGGAAACGTAGGTTCAAAGTACTGCTCACAGTTAAAACATATCCATCTAGCTTTGCTTGTCCGTTACGTTCACGTAAAAAAGTTTGGTTTAGATGTAATTTTGAAGCCTTTACTTGATGACCTTAAGAAACTGTCATCAGAGGGACTTAAAATCATTGTTAATGGCATGGAGAAGCATGTTTTTGGAGCTGTAGCTGCAATATTGGGAGACAATCTGTCATCTCACATGATAGGTGGATTTGCCATGTCTTTTGGTGCTGGTCGAATCTGTAGATACTGCATGGCTACTCACTCTGAGATGAAAAAGAACTTCATTGAATCTGATTTTGTTTTAAGAAATGTTGATGTACACAGATACCATTTAGAATGTGTAAAACTAAATCCAGAAAACAAAGGAATGTATGGAGTTCGTGGTGGATGTGTATTTGACCAGTTAGATTACTTTGACGTCACAACATCTCTTCCTCCAGATGTCATGCATGATTTCTTGGAGGGTGTAGCACCGTTGGTATTGAGGCTTGTTGTATGTAAAGCTCATCAAGAAAAACATATAACCATACAAGAACTAAATGATGAACTAAGAAAGATGTCCATTGGACAAAATGATAAGACAAATAAGCCTGTGGCTTTCTCAGAAAATATTTTACATGGATCCAGTGTTGTTGGATCTGCTTCACAGAAGTGGTGTTTATTCCGCCTACTTCCTTTCTTGATGGCACACAGGGTACCTGAAGGCTGCAGTTACTGGCGGATCTATTTATTGTGTCGTGAAATTGCCGACATTGTAATGGCACCTGTTGTAAAAAAAGAGTCCCTTCTTCTTCTTGACCAATTAGTTTCTGAGTTTTTGTGTGGCATGGAAAAAGAGTTTGGAAATGTGATAACTCCAAAATGTCATTACTTGATCCATTATTCTCGTCTAATGTTGTCCTACGGTCCTTTACGGTCTTTGTGGTGCATGAGATTTGAAGGGAAACATCAGTATTTCAAACAGGTAGCTAGTTCCTCAAGGAACTTTGTCAATGTTACATCAACTTTAAGCAGCCGCCATCAGTTTAGACAGTGTTGGGAATTTTCGTCAACTAATATGTTTGGGGAGTATGAGAGGGTTATGGGACGCAGTGTTAACACACTGTTACAGTCTCTTCCTTCAGCTCTTAGGCATTCCATAACTGTTAGTGAGCGGTACAAACATGTCAATTTTCAGGACATTACACTCAACCGAGTAACAGAGGTTGTGATTAACAGTGTTAAATACTGTGTAGGAGATGTCTTTGTTGTGGGTCATTTGCACGGTGAAAAAATACCTTTGTTTTTTCAGGTCAAATACATTCTAAACATACACACAGATTGAGCGTTATGTGGAAAGCTATTAATTCCTCTTTCTTTCTGTCATCACTATTACGCCTACTTGGTGAAGTATGAACAGGACTGGACTGTCCTTGACCCTTTTGAGGTGATGGATTTTCATGCTTTGGATACATACTGTGTCGATGATAAACTGTTTGTTAGTATGCGGCATTTATGTTAAGCTGTGTTGGGAGGGTTGTAGAGCGTTGTAGATGAGCTCAAAGCTTGTGTTTTTTAATCCAGAACACATCAAGTGTCATATAGTTTATCCGTTAAGTGACTCTTTACTTTGGTGTGGTGCTAAAGTGTTTTGCTTGGTCTTTGATAATAAACTTATGTTTTTCTGCACTATACTGCTGTTCTTATTAGTGATGTTTATGAAATTGAAAGAAGGAAAAGATAAATGGTTCCATTGCATTTATTCCCTGCCATGCATCTATTCTCTGATATCGCTGTTCATTTTGTTTTTGGAGTGGCAGTATAAAGCTGTCAGTTGGTCAATGAAATGCTTCTTAAAAAATTTATTTAAATTTTTTTTAATTTTAAAATCAGACATGAAATCCTAAACATTGTGCCATTTTATTTTGGGATGTTACATTGTATGGTTGTGAGATGATCTATTATTGAATCTGTGAATTAAACTGTTTTCCATTTAAGGACTAAAATAAATGTCAATGAAATGCTTCTTAAATTTTTTTTATTTTATTTTTTTTTTTAAATCAGACATGAAATCCTAAACATTGTGCCATTTTATTTTGGGAAGTTACATTGTATGGTTGTGAGATGAACTATTATTGAATCTGTGAATTAAACTGTTTTCCATTTAAGGACTAAAATAAATGTCTAAAATTCAGTTAGTTGTTGTTTGTCTTTATTTTCTTTCACTCCTTAAGGAATAAAAAGGAACTTTTTTGCCACCTAAAGGTACAAAATGGCTTTGTCACTGGGGCGGTACCTTAATGGGACAAAATTGTACCTTTTTCCAGAGGTACTTTATTGTTCCTTTGTCTAAGGTACATTATTGATCCTCAAAGGTACAGTATTGGCCCTTAGAAGGTACAAACAAGTAAGGTACAAATTTGCTCCTCTGAATTAAGGTACAATAATGTACCTTTGAGGGTACCACCCCAGTGACAAGCTTTTGTTCCTTAAAGGTACCGTTTTGTACTTTTTTTTCTGAGAGTGAGGGGTTGTAGGCCGTCGATTAACAAAATGCTGAAATATATTTGAAAGTATGTCAGTGAGCCTCCGTCTTGCCTTTAACCCTTTATAGGGCACTCATTGAAATACTTGTAAATTCTAAATTTCAACCATAGAGTGTTATTGGAGGATATTATAAGACTCCTAAACGTTTGTGAGTAAAAAAAAAATATATATTTTTAGGTTGGAAATCAAGGGCAATGAAGTTACCATATATGGTTCCTCGCCAGTCTAGGGTAATTTTTTTCCCCTTAAAAAGTGTATATATAAAAATATAATAAAAACACATAAACTTGTTACAAACATAAAAATATTTATTTAGGAACATTTTAAATTATTATTAGGAACATTTTAAATTAAATTACACCTCTTGGCAGAGGGGCCTATATTACTCTGGCCTGGAGTGTCTAGGTTGTGGGTGGGTGGGAGGAAGTCAGGGTCTGCCAGTTCATCATCTTCCTCCTCAGAGCCCTCATCATCACTGATGCTGGGGTGGGCTGGCACAACTGTCTCCCTCTTGCCGTAAAAGATTTGTGTAGATAGCTGCAAAGAACAGAGAGTACATTTTTGAGTCAATATCAAGCCCAGTTTGAGTTATTTGTTGAGTAACAGTGAAGTGCAGATCTACTGAAATATAAATAATAAGAAAAATAAGTGAGTAACATTGGACTGGTCTGTCATAATATATGTAAATATATAATAAGAAGTGCAAAATATCATTTTAAGTATTAAAAACTGTTATAAAGGTCATAAAACTGACCAAAACCACACATATTTCAATATCTAATATGGCTTGAAAATGTCTATAAATGTGTTACGTTTCCCACTGGATCACTTTAAAATGTTATTCAAACCTGTGATAACATCCAATGCACTAGTATATACTATTGTCCTACATTATAATCATAGACTTTGGTTATAATGCATTATTTGTAGAAAAAATAACCTAGTACGGCTTTTCTATACGCATAGGGCGTATGTCTAAATATGGTCTTCCTATCACTTGCGCTAATCTTACGTGAACAGGGCGTATGATCAAATATGGTCTCACCATTTTTCATGCTACAAATGTCACTACTTTCAAGAAATCTATGCAAACAACACCTATCTCAACATGTTGCACAACTATTCAACCATAGAATGTGTGAGTTTCATCAACTTACCATTTTTTGTTTTGAAGTTATTAGCGCTGATGTGGGAGTAGGTAGTAGCGCATAACCTCACTTTCCAATATCCGGAACGACACTGAAGTTTGAAATGCTCCGCGCAACTTCTGATTGGTCAGATGCCATGGTGTGACTATCAGTGACGTAGCCTGATCTTCGCTGATTGGCTAGGAGAAATATATGCGCTCATACGACAACGCAAACAGGCAGGGGAGAGTCAGTTTGAATGCGCGATTAAGTTACCAAATATGGTTCCTCGCCCGATAAAGGGTTAATCGTCTTATTTTACGTTCAAATATATGCATTATGAACAAAGAACCGCCATTATTTCCAAGCAATATTTTTTTCGTTTGTTAATCCTGTAGACATTTAGTTGTGAAGGGGTCTCCCACACTGCTTAATCCACGACCGGCATTTCTCCCCTTTGGCTTTTAGGTTTCGGGAAGGGAAAAAATCCCACCCCACCGTCCAAACTTTTAGGATACCGGTTATCAGATTTGCACAATCCATACGCACAACGCGTCGGCATGTTTCCCTCGCTCGAAAGCTTGACAGACCACCCGCGCCTAGTTACGGTTGCTAAGCCACGATTGGCCAGTGGCGGTTTTCGGGCGTGGCTTAGCGAAGGGTCAATTGGCATAAAACACTATATACATTTACATCTACATTTAGTCATTTAGCAGACGCTTTTATCCAAAGCGACTT